ATTGTGGGGGGATTCTCTTCATTTCGCCGGAATAAAGCCAGTCTTTGCCATGCAGCGGTGGTAGTGTCTGCAACTAAGCCTATCTCTTTCGAGTTCGAGGGACCTAGCGACTTAACCGACGGCAGTGAGATTGCTGACGCCAGCGAAGTCACCGACTGCGACAACATGGATGTAGACACCGAGGTTTCCGTTGCTCAGCCGATGCCCAAGCTTCAGCTCGCACCTATTGCGCTCAATGCCCCCTCAAACGCTCCGGAGCCAGCCTCGCCCTTGAAGTCAGCTCTGCGCTCTCCCCAGAAGTTCGAGACTAAGACACCAAAGAAGGCTGTCACCTGGGACGAGCACGAGGAGAGTGACCTGTTCAACTACGGCGGACCACTCGCCGGCCTCACTTTCTTTGTCGACATCACCTCACACGGAAAGGAGCACAACTACATCTTCATGACCCTGCTTGAGGATATGGGTGCAAAGATTGCTAAGGAGTGGCAGAGCACCGGCATCACCCACGTCCTCTTCAAGGATGGCAACAAAGAGACCCTCGAGAAGGTTCTTGCCAGCAAAGGAGCCATCAAGTGCGTCAACGTCGGCTGGATCCTTGAGTGTGAACAGACCAAGAGCCGTGTTGAAGAGTCGCCCTACCTAGTGGACCTCTCTGTCGTAATGCCTCAGTCTCCCCTTCCCACGGCTGCGCTCAACGCCTACACCCCAGCACGGACTCCTTCGAGGTACGCCTTGCCTCCTTCGTCTGAGTGTAAGAGCATTCCCGATACTCCCACCAGCTCTGAGATTGACCACTCCTTGGTCAACGACGACGATGACAAGGAGAACTCTGAGGTCGGCCTCTTCTTCAGAGACAGTGTTATCAAGACTGGCATTCCGCGTACCTGCCCACCCAAGAAGGCGTCTGTCTTGTTCAGCAGGTCGCCCATGAGGACGCCTTCCAAGATCAACTTCATGGGAAACTCGCCTCTCAAGCCCTTCTCCACCTCCAAGAAGCGATCGCTTGATACTTCCTCCTCTTTGGGCCTGTCCATGTCGGTCCCGCCCAAGAAGCTGCGTCTTTTCTAGGCGTATACTCGGTCTCTTTCCGGTTGGCGTTTGGCGGTGAACGGAGGGTTATTTGACGACTTGGCGTACCAGGATGCATCGACATCACATCAGCATAAACACGGAGTCTTTTCTGGAGTCAAAATATGAACTTCTCTTCCCATTTCACAGCACACACCTACACGCCATCCCCGCCCCTTCATCGCCGGCTTGAGCGATTGCCATTGCTTCTGGTAGCCTCCTGCAAGGGACGGCTCCCTTTGGTTTGATCGCAAGATTGCCAGGTGGAGGGGCGGGTCGAAGGTGCTTTGGTGTGCTTGCTTTTCATTGTACTTTATACTACTGCTTCGGCAATATGGGATGGGTGGGCGGAATGGATACCACGGATGACTGGATGATCAAAGTTGGATGATGGCGTTTGGAGGGTGCATTGCATGGACACTAGCTTGGCAACTGTCTTTGCGGGTTTCTTCTTGTCACATACAGATGATCATGGAATGACTATACTTGAAAATTACCCTCGTGTCTCTTGATGCTGTGAAGTGTGATGTATGATAGACTGCAGTGCAAAAGCGCTGCTCAGCTTTTATTGCGCACGCTATCTCTTGCGCTCGCGTATCGCATTCCTCTTAACTGTGGTATACTCTGCATACTAGAAATAGCAGTCCAACAACCGGTCATCACGATTCGCGGGATTCCCGCGTGAATGAGCCAGACGAGTATGAATTGTCACCAACCGTGAACGCGGCGATACAATTTCACCTTAAACCACCAAGTTTGTACAAAATCAAACAGGAAGTTTATCAAAGCCTATGGACGTATCAGTGATGTAATAGACGTATTTTTGTTCACCAGGAGAAGGTTGAGGCTCTTCGGAAGTGGTTCGCCAAGCCTTGTGCTCCGTGCGCGGCGGGCGTGGGCCAGTCTACATCACTGACGAGGCGCAACACACGACCAAACAATCCCAACGCGCCATCTTTCACCGTTTCTCCCTCTATACTACCCCGCTCCTCTTACCACGGGATCCACGGAGCTTCGCACACATCTGCCAATCCACATAGTCCACACATCCCCCACCCGCCACCATGTCGAGCGGAGAGGTACTCAAGGCGGACAAGGACTTCTCCAAGGAGGCCGATGTCGCTATTCCGGAAGCCGAGAAGCTGGGCGCAGTATGTCTGATACCGTGGGGAGGTGGATGAAGCTAACATGTCATCAATAGAGCAACCCACAAGCTGGTATCGACCAGCTGCTTACTCTAGAGAAGAAGACCCGCCAGGTACGCGAAGCCTGAATATACCCCAGCACAAGCACATGTTAACGCCTACAAGGCCTCAGATCTCGCATCGACATCCCGAGTCATCATCGCCATCGTCACAATAGCAAAGAAGGCCAATGACTGGAATTTGATGAACGAGCAGGTGTTGCTCCTCTCCAAGAAGCATGGACAGCTGAAGCAGGCCACCACCAAGATGGTGCAGACGGTCATGGGCTTTCTGGATGATACGCCAAATCTCGAGACAAAGCTATCAGTCATCGAGACGCTGCGCACAGTAACCGAGGGCAAGGTAAGGTGGAATGAAGTCGAAGTACAAGCATATCTCTAACAGACGTTTAGATCTTCGTCGAAGTCGAGCGCGCTCGCATCACCCGCATACTCTCAAACATCAAGAAGGAGCAAGGCGACATCAATGCGGCCACCGATATCCTCTGCGAGCTCCAGGTCGAGACCTTCGGCTCCATGACCCGCCGAGAGAAGACCGAGTTCATCCTGCAGCAAGTGGCGTTATGCATAGAGAAGGGTGACTGGACACAGGCGGGCATTTTGAGCAGGAAGATCGGCACAAAATACTTCGCGCGTAGGCCCAAGAAGACCCCGGAGCAGCTCGAGAAAGACCAGAAAGAGCGGGAAGAGAAGGAGAAGACCCGGAGTGTCGACGACCCGCCTATCGAGCCGGAAGATGACGTGACGGATCTGAAACTCAGGTACTACGAGCAGCAGATCACCTTGGCCAAGCACGACAGCAAGTACCTCGACGTATGCAAGCACTACCGACAAGTTCTGGATACCGAGGCGGTTGAGGAGGACCCGAAGAAGCTACGCGCTGTAAGTCTGATTCCATATGCCATGAGCATTCCTAACAATGATTGTAGATCCTTCAGCGCGTCGTCTACTTCATCATCCTCGCACCATACGACAACGAGCAGTCTGACCTCATCCACCGTATCCAGCGCGATTCACGCAACTCGCAGATTCCACAAGACGCACAACTGGTGAAGCTCTTCACCGTGCCAGAGCTGATGCGATGGCCCATGGTAGCCAAGCAGTTTGGCCCACACTTGACCGAGACCGATGTCTTTGATGCCGAGAAGGACGACTCGGACGACGACAAGGCACACCAGAGGTGGCAGGACCTGCGGAAGCGTGTCATCGAGCACAATGTACGCGTTGTCGCCAAGTACTACACACGTATCCAGATCCCGCGCCTCACCGAGTTGCTGGATCTTACCGAGGATGAGACGGAGAAGAACATCAGTGAGCTCGTTAGCGCAAAGACCATCTACGCGAAGATCGACAGGCCAGCGCGTGTTGTCACCTTCTCGAAGCCCAGAGATGCGGACGATGTCCTCAACGAGTGGAGCGGCAACATGAAGAGCTTGCTAGGTCTGCTTGAGCGCGTCGACCATCTCATCACCAAGGAGGAGATGATGGCGCGCATCCAGCCCACCAAGGTCGACAAGAGCAAGGCGGCGAAGGGCAAGGCGAAATGAGGAATACGAAAGTGTGATGACTGAAGACGATCATGATTAGTCTAGAATTGGAGGCCTCTCTATACTTGGCCCCGCGCGTGTCCTGGCACTGCGCATGTAATATAGACGTCCAAATGAACAGACGCAATGTCTAAAGTCTCGCCCCATCTAACGTGAACGCCTTGCTTGAATGCGGTAGACCTGATGCCTTTAGAATGGAACGTCCATATCCTCCACGCTCTCCTCTTCCTTCTTACCTCCTTCTTCCCCGTGCATCACCTCCTTGATGAAACCGATCAGCGCATTCACGCTCGCCTTCTGCGTGCTCGGCAGAAAGTGCCCACCGGGATGATACACAACATACTTATCCTCCCTATTCTCACACGCCTCGACAAGCGCCAAACTCCTCGCCTCCTCAACCACCACATCCTGCGTGCCCAAAAAGTGCAACACCTTCGTCCTAATCTTCGGCTCATAGAACGCATGATACGGATTCATCCCCCTTGCCGCAAAGCCCGAATAACTCACCGCAAACTTCAACGGCGGATGAATCACCTCCCCATCCTCCTCGAAACTCTCAGGATATGCCATACCGCCTTCTACCTGTTTGGCCGCGAACGCCTCCCTCCTCCCCTCCTCCAGCAAACTCGCAACCATGGCCGCACACGCCCCACCCTGGCTAAACCCCACGACCCCATCGAACGGGCCCTCGCTCTTCAACGTGTCCGCGATCCTGCCGAGCCCGAGTTCAAGGCCCTCGTATACATACGGCTCCCCCGTGCCCTTGCGGCGCCACCACGCCCACGCATCGACTTCCTCGCCCTTCTCCTCCTGCGCGGCGAGAAACGTCTCGTCGGCGGGCGAGAGCCGGATCGGCGCCGTGGGATACACGAGCTCGCAGCCCGCGGGGAAGGCTTTTGCAAGCGTCTTGCGCAGCGCGCCGGTTTTGGCTTGGAAGAGCGCGCCGGATTGCGTGTAGCCGTGCAGCATGAGGAGTTTTATCGGGCGGGTTGGGGGCGCGGTGGAGGTCATTTTGTGCCAATGGTAGGTTGTTTGGAGGCGCGTTGGGGTGAGGGTGCGGAGATAGGAGAGGGCGGTGGGCGGGGGCATGTATGTGTGTTGGGTGGGTTGGCGGGCGGAGGGTGTGAAGTGGAGGGAACGGAATATAATGGGTTCGGAAAGGTGTTCGGAATCGGAATGAGGTCATTGGGTTGGGTTTGGGACTTCACCACAGATAGCAGAGCAAAAGAAAACCAAAAAAAGTGGAAAGTACATGTTTCTAAATTGAACTGTATATCGTCTTACAGAGAGGACCGTCTGTATTGCTGAAGGAGATGTGTTTGTTGTTTAACGGCAATAATTTTGCGGGCGCTGCTCTTGTACCTACTTTCCTTCACACAACAGCATGTAGTGCTTCACTGTGCTTTAAGTTATTAGAAAAGAATAGCGCATCTCAACATTGTTGGATTGTTTATAACTACATGAAAGACTAAGGCCAGACCATCCAGGATGGTCAACCACTGCTCGCACATTTACTCCAACCGCTTGTCTAGTTGGCCAATACGCTCCTCCTGGAATGCAATCGTAGCTTTTGCATCAGCCTCCCGTTTGTCCAGCAAAGATCTGCCCGCCTGTCAGGTCTTGATCTCGCCTTCCTTCTCCTCAAGCCTACTCCCCAATTCGTCCCATCTGCAAGCGAATGCCTCTGAGCTCCCAGACATGTTCCTGCTTGATCTTGGCTAGTTCCTGTTCGAGCTTGGTAATCTCATCTGTGCCGGTGAACAGATCATCAAGGTCGTCTTGCCCATCAGCAGCAGTCGTAGCTGCCTTATGGCACTCTTCCAGACCCCGAATCATCTCCTCAATCTCACTATCCTTGGTCTTAATCTCAGCAATCTTGCCATCTAGCTCTTTTTCTAGCTTTACGATCCTAGCCTGTTCCTGCGCAATTTGGGCTTCGAACATCTTCCGATTCCGCGACGGTGCGTGCTCCAATTCCGTAACCTTGTTCTTCAAAATCTGGTTCGTTCTCTTCTCGGCCGCCAGCTTCTCGTCTGCTGGCTTCTGTGCCGCCTGGGCAGTCTCAGTCTCAGCAATGTCAAGCGACTGAGTCTTGTCTGCAGGTGCCATGACCGAGTGTTGAAGCTTCCTGTTCTCAGTTTGCAGGCTCGTCACTTGTTGGCGCAGAGATGCGTTCTCAGTCTCGGCGGCCTTCAACAATTCCGTCTTTTCGACAAACAAGTTGTCAATCTTGTCCTGAAACTCCTTCTTCTCAGTCTGCGCAACCTCAGCATCCGCAACCATATCATTCCGCAGCAATTCATTCCGTGCCTTCGCGCCTATGACTCTTGCGAGAAGTTTATTGACTTCGGTATTCAGCGATCTCACTCTGACGTGCGAGTCCTTTAGGCCCTTCTGCCCCGTACCAAACATGATCTTGAATTTGTCGCGTTCGTTGGCGATGTCCTTGGATAGGTCGACCGCCTCGTCTCGCTGGATGGTCATGGTTGCTAGTTGCAGGCATAAGAGCTCGATCTTGGTAGTAACCTCTGGGGGCGGGATTGCATTGTTGTGTTCGGATGCTCTTGGTCCAGGTCTGAGATAAGACTGCTTCGTGTTCGTCTTGGGTGCATTAGGAGGTGCCGCACGAACGACTCGAGCTCTCTTCGTGTTGCTGCAGGAGCATCGGCGAAGCAGCCACATAAGGAACACGAGCAACAATATAGGCATCACGACGAATATAAAAGCCCGTGTAACGGACGCACGCGGGGGCGCAAGTGGTGGGAGATGCCCGTTGGGCTCCGATCCTTGGGAATCCATGGTTGAGTTGACGAGTCTTCGTAATGAACGGTCGCAGCTGGATACTTTTAGCAGGATATCTATGAGCGAAATGACCATGTATATGAGGATGTGAGACGATACGTGTGGTCTATGCAAGACATGTCTTGTTCTGTGTCCAAACAAGTTCTGACCAACAATGAAATCAAGTTTGAGCAACAAGTTTTTGTGAGACAAAATTGATACTACATGTCGGTAATTGGTGTGCATTCTGGTTCATAGTTTTATGCACCGCACAAGAACATGTAGAGAGTTGTGAGGTGGAGAGAGCGTCGTTATAAGGAAATCGCAACTTGGCGTTACAAATACCAGTGGTGTAATACTCATCGGATAATGACTTCAACGGCCACCTCATTTGACCATGATGCCTTCTGATCCGTCTCCTTCCATGCCTTGGCAAGATCAAGCTCTAAAACATTTTCACACGTTTTGCTGACCGCAACGCAATCAATTGGGATGGGTCGACCAAACAGCACAGCGAAGAAGTCGTCTTCGATCGATCGCTCTTTCAAATCTGAAATGTAAATACCTAAGCACAAGTTAGTCTAAGTATCGACACTGATTATCAAGGGCTATGTATTACCGTAAGTGCCGAGCACCTTGAGTGAAGTCCAGATTCGCAACCTGCCCGAGGATCTTTCGATATAGCTATCTGCGTTGATGATAGCAGCTGCACCAGTCATCTTCTCGAGGACACCAAGATTGGCCACTGAGATGTCGGCTAGCCCTCTGCCGGGCTTTTCGCGTTCTAGCTTGAACGATTGCAATGGGTATGCGGATAGTATCTCCCAACCCCGTACAGGCAGCTCAAGGTGGACCAATGCGCTGTTATCCTTGACACTTGTGGGTTTGGTGATTTGACCGGTCGTGTGACTACGGATGATGTATGTTCCCTTTTCGGCACCTGGGAAAGAGTCGAGACCAATGAGCTCTGCGAGAGGTCGTGGGGCGCAGTTGAAGACACCAATAATGCTGATCCCGCTGTGGGCCATTCCGACGTACGTGCTGACCTTGAGGAGCACAGGATCGTCGAAAGCATTGTATGCTGAAATACTCTTGCCAACCGTGTGCGGGCGAAGGATTACTGTGTCACCACGTGGTGTATTTCCGGTCATTTGCCCGATCAAATCCACACCATGTTGCCCAGGTACATCTGTGATGTATATGGGGCCTCCGGAGACACAGCGAGCGGCGCCGTGGAAACCAGCATAGTCGTGAGACGTCTGAAACATATCCCAGTCTGGCAAAATGTTGAGGTATTGTGTAAGGATAGAGTTATGGGCGTTGCAGAAGACGTGCCACGGATGGGACGCCGGTACGTCTGGAAAGAAGTCGTCCGAATTGCGCAGCAGGATCCGTGGCTTGTTCGACGGAAGCAGAGAGTGGAATAATATCTGTGGCGTTTGTGACATGCAGGAAATGGCTTTGGCAGAGAAGTATCGTAGCTGATTGATGTTCCAGGCATCCTGATACGCTTCAATCAGATGGCGTCGATCATCGGCGTTCTTGATCTCATCGAGAAAAAACTGGCTGTCTGTCTTGACCGAGTCAACTCCGGTGGAACTGAGAAACTCGTAAAAGTCTTTGTAGAATCGTCCGACGTCCTCTTGAGCGACCATGGTAACCTCTCTCTTTGATACACCGTCCTTTGTTTGTACCTTGACTGTCTTATATTCCTTGGCAATCTTACCATCTGGCGCAATGCCCCCCCAATACCCCTGAATAGCATGCCAAACGGCGATGTGCTTAATGTGTTTGTGTTTGTTGCGGATGTCCCCTACAGTCGCTTTAAGGCCCCGGGGAAAACCAGTTTTGTTCGCTTCAAATTCGATCCAACCGTTGTCGAATTGAGTAGCACCTTTGGTCTGCCCATTGTGAGCTTTAATTCTTGAGCATGTCGGCGAACTTACCAACGATTGCCAGTTATCGTCGATGATCAGATTACTGATGTTGATTTCATTCTTGGACAGTGAGTCAAGAGCGTCGAATATCTTTTCTTCGGTCAAGTTTTGGCCAAGTCCGTTCCAAGTGCAATACGCTAGGCCATCATCTATAGGATGTCCGAGTTAGACGCAGGTGCTGTTGATATCGGCGATTTATCCGTTAAGTACTTACACCAGTTCTCAAGCCATTCAGGTTTGAAGTCTTTCATCAAAGCTTGGTATTCTGCGTCAAGTTGTCCTTCCATCTCTTCATACCTCATGACAATCTTTCGTGCGTGATACATGGTAGCAGCAACGGCATTCTCCAAAGTCTTACCAACCGCAGCGATGAGACTAAAAACTCCTTCCTCTTCGCGGTCATTCTGTGAACTGATGACTATACGTCCGTCAAAGTCATGGCGAAAAACCGTTAGCACGTCTTTCATGCCACTTACGGCAAGGATGACTAAATGAGATCCGTCTTTTCGTTCAAAAGCCGTCAAGATGGCATCTTTGTCCGGTTGGAACTTTTCCCTACCCTGTCGGGGCGCAAGCCAGGGGCTCCATATTCGAGTCTCGGCGAACCAGCGTGAGAAGTCTGTCGGTTTACCGAGCTTCTCGTTCAGCATACCAGGTTCTTTGCCAGAAGCAGCTTTTACAGAGCCGGTTATGGACCAAAGCTGGGTCTCAGGGGTATCACTTTGTTCCTTTTGGATGCTAAGGAAAGACGGTAGCTCTTCTATGTAGTGTGTCAAATCGTCCTTGACTGGATCGGGAGACTGGTAGATGAGGTGCCCGTCTGATGTAGAAAATGCTTCATTCGCCCATTTCCATGGCTCCTCCTGTGGAAGTCAGAATCGTCAACCTTATCTTAAGATGCTTAACGGACCCCTGGTAGAGCCCATTTGTGGAGACAACAAGAATGCAATGCCTTACCTTTGCTACCCGAAAAGTGATTGTATAAGAAAATAAGCCATGCTTGGCTGGACGCCCGGGAAGATCGACTTTGAAGTATTGGCGTCGTACATTGGTATCTTTCGCCCTTACTACCGTCTTGTAATGTCAACTTCAAAGACATCACGCACAAAGACACAACTGTCATACCACACTAGGCTCTGGGGCTGGCTGCAAGCTCAGGCTGGTCCAGTGGTTGGAGTCTTCGAAGTTGTGCCACAACGCGACATCCCATGTCTTCTCAGAGCTGGCTGAGCTTTCGATGAGCACAGTGAAACGGACCTAGTGACTGTTACACCTTGCTGAGCTGACCGAGGTCGTGTGGATCGACTCACGGACGTTGTGTCCGGGCCAATGGTCGTAGTTTGGCCCAAGGGCGGGTGGCATGTAAGTGATGCATACATAGTTGCTTGGATTGAGAGGAGCTATCAAGTTAAGCTAGAGAGCAGGGTGGGAGCAACAAGCATGAAGGTCAATGTGAAAATGATGAACAAGAGGAGAGGGTCAGGGTGCAGTCAATTGGGGAGAAATAGAGTTTTATAAGGCTATCGTAGGTGCAGAAGATGAAGCTAGCTGGAGTTAACGCGTGAGGTCAAGTGACGACGTGTTGCGGAGGTGCGGAGGTGCTGCGGGAGAGCTGCAAGCTTGGACCAATGAGCGCATCTTCAATCTTGGCAGGCACAAGTTCCGACATGGACAATTTCGTTACTTCGACGACGCCATCTGCGGCTGCTCCCTGACCATGTCGTTGTTGAGACATCTGCCACGACGGTCGCAATATGTATGTCGTCAATGTATACGGAAACAATCCACATCGGCACAGCAAGATGCGGCGTGGGCAGAGCGGGCAGGTACAATAAGGGCAGGTGCACAGCAGAGCATGCTGAGCGTCCTCGAAGAGCGTGGCTTTGTGAAGGATGTTGCGGGGTGAGTGCACGTGGTGTTATTTCTTCGTCTCTTACGACATGGGATGTTGCTAAGACAACACAGTGAACGGAAGACACTCGACTGGGTACTCACAGAGAAACCCATAGGCGCATATGTCGGTGTAGACCCTACCGCCCCATCACTCCATGTCGGCCACCTCCTTCCGTTCATGGCACTATTCTGGATGTACCTCCACGGCTACAACACCTTCAGCTTGGTGAGCCACTCGCGGCCGAACATAACAACGCGGAATTAATATCGTGTAGCTTGGAGGAGGTACAGCTACCATTGGGGATCCATCTGGAAGGACAACCGCCCGTTCGAGCCAGGCGGCCAATATACAGCGCCACAACAGCAAGAATATGCATATTCAGCTCCGTAATCTGTGGACCAACGTGAAGTGTCTGGGCATCAAACACCAGTACTCCAACGCGATCAGCTGGAAGAAAGAGCCCTTGAACAATGAGACTTGGTTGCAGCAGCTTAGTGCCATCGACCTCATGAGGGGTCTTGGCTCGGGCATGCGGTTAGGCGCAATGCTTGCTCGCGACTCGTGAGCCAGCCATAACCTGTTCCAGAGCGCAGCTGACATCAGTATAGCGTCAAGGTACGCATGGAGAACGGCGAAGGCATGGCCATGTCCGAGTTCAGCTATCCTCTGTTCCAAGCCTACGACTGGTGGCATATGTACCAGCGGAATGGCGTCCAGCTTCAGATTGGCGGCTCCGACCAATACGGCAACATTTGCGCTGGAATGGATGCTATCAGCTATATGCGAAGGGCAGGAGACCACCATTCGAATTCGGAGCTGGACGAAAACCCGCTGCGCGCAACGTATGGCCTCACAACACCTCTACTGACTACCGCGAGTGGAGAAAAGTTCGGCAAGAGCGCTGGAAATGCGGTTTGGCTCGATCCGAAAATGTTGAGTTCTTTCGACCTGTATCAGGTATGATCGTGCGAGTCTCTCATGCCAGCATATCACTAAGACGCAACAGTACTTCGTCAAGACAGCCGACAACGATGTGGAGCGTTACCTGAAACTCTTCACGTTCCTTCCTATCAACCAAATCAACCTTCTGATGGCGCAACAGAGAAAAGACGAATCGAAACGACTAGCGCAACACATCCTAGCCAAGGAGATTGTTGAACTCGCCCACGGTGCCAAGTCTGCGAAGATGGCAGAAGAAGCGCATAAGGAAGCCTTCAGTCACGGCACAAACACATTCTCCCTGGGTGCCTTGAGAAATTCCATGTCCAACATCAAACCCGCCAATGCTCCAAACCCTGAGCATCTGAGCAAGAGTGAACAGGCTGAATTGGCTCATAAAGAGTCTCTCGGCCTTTCAGCCAATGCACAAGAGTCCGGAACGACGTCCGCGCTATCAAAGCAGAAAATCGTTACGTTGCCCAAGACGCTGCTTCAGCCCGGCTCATTCCCGCGCATCCTTTGTGCTGCAGGCCTAGCGTCATCAAGGAGCGAGGCGCATCGCCTGATAGCCTGCAAAGGTGCCTACGTTGTCGTACCGAACTCAGGGTCCCCCGAGACACCAACAGCGCTGCAATGGATCAACATCGAAGCTGGCGCGACTGTTAACCCCAGCCATTACTTAGTGGACTGGGACGCACTCGTTCTACGATCCGGCAAGTCTAAGATTCAAATATGCCACATCGTTACTGAGGAGCAGTTCGAGGCTGAAGGCCTGACTTGTCACGGGTGGGAAGAGTTCAAGGCGAAGAGAGAGAAGGACGAGAGCAAGGCACGCATACAAACGGAATGAACCCGCTTTATACCTCTTCAACATGAATGGGCCGACTTCATGGCACATCTTTTAGGCCTTCTGTACAACAATGTAACAACGCCAATGAGCAGACACGCCATCATCGCGTGCGCAACTAGACAACCAAGTAATTTCACTCGGTTCTCCGCTTCCCGTATGTTACCTAGCAACCATATGCGTCTCACTCTGGCGTACCACACTTTCTTTGATATCAAGATGCCGTGCTCGGAAGACGGGGAAAAGTTCAAGGTGGCATCAAGTCGCTCGTAGACCACACCTTGTCTCCTCGTGCCACATTTCTATCACGTTGTCAATTTTCAGTCTTCAATATGGGTGCATGTCCTTCATCCCCCGTGTGTCCCACACACAACCAATGTACATTCGACGCCAATGGCTCCTCCTTCGCATTCGCCTGCGGCCTCGATTACTCCGGCGGAGACATTGAGTCGGTTCAAGTCCGTCCCATCCCTCGCTTTCCCATCTCCATCTCTCCTGACAGCTACAGACATCTTCGATAACCGATTGCATATCCCTCTGCACCACCACTCCCTCCTGCACCGCAATAACCTTCAGCGACTCCGCATGCTCGCTGAAGAATATTTCCGCGACTCCAACACTCAAGTACAACACCTCATCCTCTCCCCTTCGCTATAAACAAACCTAACCAATCTCCCAGCCCAACTGCATCAGCCGCATATATCTACACCTCCCCCTCCACCTCCACCTCTTCCCTTTCCGAAGCCATTATCCCCTGCCCCCCGTTCCCGAAGACAAACCTCCTCTCCAACCCTTCCTTCGAGCACCGCTCCCTCCTAAATTGGACGCAGTCCACAACCGCCCCAGCCCGCGAAGGCATACCCTCCACTTCATCCCCACACACGGGATCCTACGCATTTATCGCTGCAGGGGGCGTGACGCTAGCTCAGAAGATTCCCGTGCTGTCGCGACGCAGTTACACAATGGGCTTGTGGACCAAGCAGACGCACGAAAGGGCGTGTGAGTGCCATGTGCGTTGGGAGGGCGAGACGAAGGTGCGCTTTACGCCGGGAGTGGAGTATGGGCGGAGGAGTGTCATGTTTCCTGTCGGGGAGGGGGCTGTGGAGGGGAGTGTTGAGATAGGGGTTGAGTGTGAACGTAGCAAAGGGGAGGTGTGGATTGATGATGTTAGTTTCGAGATTGGATGGGCCGGATAAGTGGTTGTTTAGAGAGAGCAATGGTATGCGTAAATTCAAATGTCCAAGCTGTTTCTATATACTCAATTCCAGCCGCTGTATGCCTCGCTTCAATTATTCGACATGTATGGAACGTGCCGTGGTGGTGCGAAGAGAATCTATGGATATCACAAAGAAGAGAAGAGAGTCGTGAGGTGCGGAATTGGCATGTTTAGGATATTATGCCTTCTCCTTCTTCTTTTCCTTCTTGTCGTGATGGTGCTTCTCGTGCTTGTTTTCCTTCTTCGCACTGGCTTCGGCCATAAGCTGCTCAAAGGCCATGAAGTCGCCTTCTTCTTCAGGATCGCGTTCAGCCTATACGTTGTTAGTCTGGATCCAATCGCAATGCTATGATGGAAAATGCCTACCTTCTGGAACATCTCTCCAATGATCATCAGCGCTTGTGCTCGCTCTACCCGCTTATCCAACTTCACCTTCTTATCGTTCAAAACTTCATCGCAGATGTCACGCAGCACACTCTGAATCTCGAACTTGCTGCCTCTCCACGCGGCTGCGAGGATCTTGCCCGTGACCTTCTTCTCGTATTCGGCCTTCTTCTCATCAGTCCATGCCTCACCACCCGCCTCTTCTAGCTTGGCCATCTCTTCCATGGTCAGCTGCGCGTCTATCGCAGCCGACATGGTGCTCCAGGTGTCCTTCACCAATGTACCCTTGTCCTTGATACGGCTGAAGAAACCAGAAATGCCGAGGAATTTCTGAGATTTGAGGAAGGATGATGCCTTCATGGTGTAGGTCGTACCGATAGCGTGAAGGATTTCTATACCAAAGGATTCCATCTTGAGGTTTTCAATCTCCAATCGGATCTTGTCCTTGAAGGCGGCGGTGACGTCGCTGGCCTTGTCGGTCTCGGTCCAGACGGAGATGCGGTCGATGAGCTTCTTGGAAAGGTTAGCGATGCGCTCTTCCCGGATCTTCTTGCGTTCCAGTTCGTATGCTGCTAGCTCCTCTCGCTGCTCTTTGGTCAAGCCGGCCTTCTTCTTCTGCTTCTCGCGCAGCTCCTTCTCAGCGTCCGTCATACCTGCAGCTTCCATGCGTGCATCCTCTTCCGATTTGTCCATGATGGCGGCTCGGATAGGCATGCCCCGCGTCTGCGGTGTGCTCGAGCCGGATGCTGCGGCTGGTGTGGTCGTGGTACCTGCGGCAGTGGCAGTGGCACTGGCAGTGGCAGTGGACGACTCTGCAGCGGGTTCGGCGTAGGCAGGCGGCGGCGCACCATATGCTGGTGGCGCATCTGCCGCATGTGCTCCTGCTCGCTCCGCTTCAGCCTCTGCCTCTTTGGCTTTGGCGGCAGCACTTGGTGTCGTGGCGGGATCCGTGGGCCCGGTCGCGGGAACAGCACCAGTAGTGCCAGTCGTCTGTCCTGCTGCTTCAGCTGAGCCTGAGACCTCGGCCGCCTTCTCTGCCTCTGCAGCTGCGGCCTCCTGCTCCTCCATCTCGCGCATCGAGATCTCCATGGTCTTGGTAAGGTCCTTCATCAGCGAGATCTCGCCAATCCTACACATGTCAGCCTGCGTTCTCGCTCCCTCTACCGAGACAAGATGTCTCTTCACATGTATCATACCAGTCTACAAAGGCTTCTCCACCAAAAATCATGGTGAAGAACTCGGACGGGTCCTCTGTTGCCTAGTCAGCGCTCCGTACTTGTAAAGCTGTTGGTAGACGAGTCGTACCAAACCCGCTGCTCGGCATCGCTCCTTCCTTTCCATACTTGTCGTACGCTGCTCGCAGCTGGTCGTCGCTCAGGATCTGGTATGCTTCTCCAATCTGTCATGGTGTGAGCCCCGCTATCCTACAACACTGCCGAAAAGGCGCAGAGGCCCGAATGCAAAAGGCGGTCAGCGTACTTGTTGGAATTTTGCGTGCGCGGTTTCATCGCCGGGGTTCTTGTCTGCGGCCATGTGAGCATTCGCTACATTTCTATTCGTGCGGGCGCTGGTTACCGGGATGCAGTTTGATCGCAAGTTTGCGGTATGCCTTCTTGATTTCGAGTTCGCTTGCCGTGGGCGTTACGCCGAGGGCGTCATAGTATGCTGTTTCTACAACCATGGTTGCGTATATCAAATATGGGGGGAGGGTGAAGGAACAGTGACTTGTTATGTAGCGTTGGGCGCGCGTCGGGGCCGCATGTACCTTCCGAAATTCCTGCGCCGCACGTTCAGCCACAAGTCGACGTCACCAGCGCTAGTGCCATCCGGGGTCTGGTGATTGCGAGTTGCGAATGCACAACCCCACCGCCGGCCGCAGTCCAAGGTTCGCTAAAATAGCAATAAGCTCAGCATAGCGCAGAAACAGCAGTGCATCTAAGTTTTCATTCGTAGTTATGCTAGATGAGAGAGCTTCAGTCTATCAAATACCTTCAAGCTGGGTATAATTCTCATGATCAGATGAAGCATGTCAGAAACCCGATATCACCTGTCGCCGCCCATGCATACGCCATGCCGTAAATCCGATCCCGTAATCATGACCAGTATTGAGTACTTTTAGACTTTTAGTCCATCCAGGAGTAAATAACGAGGGCGCAGTCCATTCAAGAGAACGCGCACGGGAGTTTGATGAAGTAAGGAAACCGGTGAGTGGGTCGAGCTCGGTATTCGCCTCGCTCGACGCTGGTAAACTTGCTGTGTCTTGGGCTTGTTTAGACGACGAATTTGGCCTTCGCACGGGTGCTGCCGGCATGTGCAGCGTCGGTGTGACCAGAGAACTCTACGGCCTCCTTGTCGTTGAGCTGGAGAGACTGCTTGAACCGCTTGCCGATCTTGAGGAGCACTTCCTTGCCCTGCTCAGTGGTACGGGCCTTGCCGCCGTCGCCTGGAATAGCGCGACCAACCGTCCGCGTCCAGAGACCGATACGGTAGAAGCCTCGTCGAACGTTGACGACAACGCCCATGACCTCGTTGTCCTCCTCATCCTCGAGGTTCTCACCAATGGCAGCGAGCATGACGTGCAGCCAGAGTGCGTCGATGTTGATGGCCTTCTTGTCCTTGAACTGGAACGCCCACTTGCCTCCGTGCTTGTTCTGCGCGTCTTCCCACTCGGGCCGCACGCCCTTCTTGAAGAGATGGTAGTCGGACTTGAGCGCAAGGTCGGAGGTAGGGGTGATGTTGTTCTGCACACATGGTCAGTACAGGAATGTATTCGTGAGCCGCACAAGACACAAGACGTACGTAGATGCCCCAGAACTCCTCGACTGAGTCAAACGAAATGACTTCCTTCAGCAGATCTGCCCAGTTGTCGCCCTGTGCATGTCAGCTAAGCCATATAGTATGGCACAGTGCACTCTGAAACATACCTTGCCGCTCGGCGGCTTGGTGAACCATAGCGACCATGTGTTCATGAGCGGGTGCTTGACGTTGAAGTTCTCGGGGTCGTGGAAGACGGTGCGGACGTCGCCCTCGTTTGTGGTGTTGCTGGCGGACGACTTCTCGTTGGTGCTGTCGCCTGAGCCCTCCGTGGGCGAGATGGGGATCGTGTCAAGCGGGACCTGCTGGTCGGGCTTGGGTGCAGTCGCAACGTCGGCCATTGTGGATTGTGGTGGGTGAGAAGTGTGTAGAGAAATTAGAGTGCTGTTGATAGCCAAGTCGAGCTGCGAGCGAGGTCGCAGGTGGTGGTGTAGGAGGTAGAAGTAGAGGTGGTCTGTTGGCGGGCGTCTAAGTTGAAGGTGGGGTCGTCAAAGTCGCGCCAGGCGATCTCTTTACAGGCGCAGTCGCGGGGCTGTCTTCGTTAGACAGCGGAAGGACCTACGGCGGATTATTTGGTTGTGGCGTGTGGAAATTGGGTGCGGGCGTGTGTCTGCTTTCCCCAAGAAGACGAGAAAATGCAGGTGCCATAGAGGGACCGCTTGCGCTAAGCCCTGATTGGCCACCTCCGTCGGCGTCTCACCACTGTCTCCAACCCGCACACAAGGTCACAATGTGAACTCTGTTGGCAGAAGGATTGCATTTTGCTGTCTAAGTAGAAGTATGTCCGCATCGCTGTTATGCGCTGACGCCATCATAGCATCAGCCCAAGAACAGCCTCGTCGCCGAGCAAGACGCATTCTGATATAAGCACTTCTCGGCCCAATCACTGCCATCAAGAGGGCGGGATTGGAATTTGACATCCGTGCTATGTCCAGTTCACTGAAGCCACCTCCTCACTACTGATGCGAACAGTTATATTAGAAATTTGTTGAGTGCATACCTGGGCGGAAGAACCGAGGTGCTAGCAATTATAATACATATAGACATGACGGCCTGGGAGCTTATCCTTAGAGCTCGCTGTGGCCCGGAGCTGCCTCCACAACCTTTGTGACCTCCGCAATCTTCGTGGCATTCGACGCGCCCCAGCCGAGGAGCTGTCCGAACTGTTCTTTGGCCTGATAGTAAGCAATGTCGAAGCGAGCACCCGCCAGGTATGCGACAAAAAGCTGGAGGTGATTAGCATGGACCGAACGACAAAACAGGTTGCAACTTACCATGAAGAACGAAATAACGCCGACAGTTAGCAGCACCGCCGATATCATGTAGATCAGATCCCACTTTGCCTCCTCGTCTTCCTTCTTCTTCTTCGCAGCTTCCTCGGCACTTGCGGGCGTCTCCTTGGCAGGCGGCTTCTGTGATGGGAAGATGGACTCGATGAACTGTTCTATCTGTATGGATGTCAGCTTGTGTCATTCGCATCTCTCGCCTCAACTCACCCTGCCTAGAGCAATGCTGATCTTCAGGAAATTCGGATCATTTGGGTTGTTCTTCTGATGGATCTTTCGCGTGTATTTCTTGAAAACCTGGCACACCAGTTCCAAATTCTGTGTTGACTCGATCATGAGTTGACACGCCTCTCCCTTGGTGATCTTGACGTTCTTCTGGAATATGGCGTAGTTTTGGAAGCAGACTTCTAGAGTAGCGATAGCCATGGACTGTGGGATGGCGCAAAAGTTGAAGACACTCTGCTCTCTGAGACCTGCGAGGTAGTAGAGACAGTCGTCCGCCCGGGTCAGGGCTGTGAGGATCATCTCTGAACTCGCCGCAAGTGCCTTCTCCTTGTTCTCGGGCTTGAACATGTCCTCGAAATTGTCAACATGCTTGGACCAGATCTCGCGTGGCCAGAATCGTCGTCCGTCGTCCAAGTCTTCTTTGATGTCGCGGGTGATGTTTACCTGCTGGAGGAACTGGCCCATGGATTCCATGAGCTCTGGCTTCCTGAGCAGGGCTTCGTTGGCAAGACCAGCCTCAACAAACAATCGCGTCAGGCCCTCGCCCACGAGACCAGCGACGTAATGGCAATAGAGTTCGTAATCCTTGAGGGTGTTGACTCCGTTCGTGTTGTGCTCGGCGTTGTTCGCATAGTCTGCCATGCCGTTGCCCATGCGCTTCGTGATGTCCTTGATGATGTCCCGGTACGCCGGCTTGATCTTCTTGAATTCCTCAATCACAACATTGAACTCGACAAGTAGCTGCCTGTCCTTCTCATTCGGGCCGTTATCGTTAAATGTCCAGCCATCCTGCTCCAGGAGGTTCTGGAAATCCCGCAGGATTGGCTCCTTCTTCTCCAACGGTATCGTCATGTCGTCCTCCACCGTGTCGAGACCGCGCAGGATGAGGTAAAAGAGCGCTACGGGCACGAGAAGCTCGGGGTGCAGCTCCAGGATGACAGCGGAAAAACTCCGGCTCGTCTTCTCGAGGAAGAAGAAGCATCGCTTGAGACTCTCCGTCTCCTTGGACTCATCGCGCTCGTGAACGGGGTTGTGCCACACTTTCCTGCGCGCATTGTCAGAAGACTGGCGACACCAAAGAATTCACGTGTTTGCCGAATCTACATACCATTGGATCATTGACCGCAGTTCGCTGGGGTGGACCGCGTAGTATAACATGTTCAATGGGCTCGGCATGGTGGGCAAAATTAAGGAGGCGCAGGTGGTAAAGAGAAGTGTTGGCAAGCCGTCTGTCAACTACACCGATCGTGTGAAGTGAAGGTCGAGAAGAGTTCCAATTAAAAAGTAGTACTTGTAAGGTAGCAAAGGAGAGGTCCCGATTACCAGGACTTGTTTATGGGGCAGCCGAAAGGTTCATCACCGGGCGCACGGCTCCACATTTTGCCAGGACCCTGTTTGCGCACGGTTGCCACCTGGGCAGGCCGCTTTCCTCCGTGCCGTTCGAGTGGCCGCGCCGTTTACCATCACTCAATTGACCCGAATCCCGTTCGCAAGTCTCACAGTATCACGCACAGCACATAGACGACGTCGCCTGTAATAGTAAACAGAAGGTAAAATCAAGGTGATAGCAATCGTGCTTCCTCACTCTTCACAATCACTCTTGGTATAGGAGAGCTAGCGCTATGTCATTTTCCCGTCTCCGTTCCAAGGATTGTTCCATTCAAGGTCACGCGTACCAGTAATCACACAGGTGGCATCCTCAATAATTTTTTAGACGCAAGGACAGCATGCCAGTCCAGCTTCCATTCATACTCAATATCGTGCGCGGCCATCTTGCGCATTCCAACCCCTGGGAAACAGTTTGAGACGGGCAAACGCTGCAGAGAGTCATCCGTTGGAAGCTGTCATCTAAGGACTAGACGGCAAGGAAAACCATGCTAGAGGCTGGAGCGTCGATGTTAGCGGGGAACGGGTCACGCTCAGACCCGACGTGGGAGAAGGGTAAGAGAAACACGCGCATCACAAATCGCAAAGAGAAGGGAAACGAGGCACAGCGGATAAACGAACGACTTATACATTTTAAGGACTAGTCAGACCACTTTCTAACAGCCGAGTGGTCTTTATTGTCGAACCAAACGAACGAAAATGCATCGCTGTGCTGCTATGCTACCAAATGAGCTATTGCAATCAGCATGAGATGGACCAAGGAGTGTGGCCAACTTACTGTAAATCTTTGCCTATGCTTTCTTGACCTGAAAGCTTCCTGCAAATTCCAACTAATGATTAGTCAAACTACTCACCACAAGTTAAACCTGCTGAGCCATCTTTTGGCTGGAGTGGCAGGATATCCCGATGGCTTTGTGGCCTTGTAACCACTAGCGGGCTTAGGGCTTGGCTTGCTGTTAGCAGGATATCCAGCGTTCCCTGGCCTCGGTTTGGTTCCAGATGTCGGCTTGGGCTTGTCAGCAGGCGCTGGCTCCTGGCCCTCCCAGTACTTCGAGTCATCTGGGAAGTACGGCTCGTCGACACCGTCACCTACCCACATGGGTGGGCGGTTTTCTCCAGCGCCCTGGGTAGGGTAGCTGTTCACGGAAGGCTTCTTCTATCGATGTGTCAGCTTGCTACATGTCACAGAATATCGGCGCAGCGTTAGCATGATCCCAAGGTTAGTAATTGTCCGAGCAGCTAATGGCAGATTTGATCCGAGGCAGTCTAGTCATTTCGAAGCTTGACAGTTGATGTTGGACGAGGGAGTTTATAGATGGAGATGGTCGTGAGCCGTGATGACTGGACAGATTCTAGCATCTTGAAAGTCAGCAAGTTATTCGAAGCAGAGAATAGAGGCACTTACCAGGTCTCCGTGTCAAGGTAGCTAGCTGTGGACATGTCATCCAGAACTGATTTCGGGTGTTCATTCGCAAAAGTCGATTTCAAGAGATGGAAGATTCGTAGACCGCTGTATCTTATCTGCCAAAGCCTGCCAGTTCAATCACGAGAGCATCTCATGTCTGAGCCGAAGCGCAAACGATACCATACTTACCCCAGGATCACGTCACGACATATGCAGAGCCAGACTGGGCAACCGATCGAGATGAAAAGAACTCACTGTGCTGGTTCCTCCGGCCACAAAGTCTTGGTTAACCCAGACGTTGATAGCATTGGTGCCACCGCATGCCTGCTTGTTGTTACCCTTGCAAGCAGTCCTGCATGTCTTGGTCGCCCTGGAGTGCTTGTAGCTGTTACCACAGCGGCAGTCTTGGCCATTCTCCGTTCCGAAGTATCTGTATGGCGCAGCGGGTGCGGCTGTCGATTTCCTGGTACAGAACCTGCGAAGAAGTGAGCATGTGGACTTCACCAGCATCTGGGAAGTGGATGAGTGGCTCACGATTTACAGCTCTGCTGAGTCAAGCTCGAGCTGCCGTTGAAGGACGGACCATCGAGGAGTCGTGCTCCGGTCCCGCCCACTGCGTCTTCGAAACATCCTTCGTACTTGTTGTTCGGGTAGGTCGTGTTAAGTGTCTACAAATAAAGCGTCAGCAGACTGCTAAAAAGCAGTTTTTTGACAATAATCAGTTGCTGCAAAAGTCTGGCTCTGCATAAGACACAAATGAAAAGCATGAGCTGTTGGGGTTAGTTCTACCAATGGTGGCTGCTTGTTAATATACGGCTGGGCAAGGGGCTACAGGGGAAAAGTTGAAAGTTTGACAAGGAACATCGCCTTGACAGTAAAGAACGACAAAACGAATGCGCGGTGATGCTCGGGACGGTTCGTGAAGATGTTCGGCATGGATTTATAGCTGTCTGGAGATGTTCGGGCGTTGCCAGTTTTAGGAACCTGGAATGAAGCTGAACGCGATTTGGTCGCTAGGGATGAACATCTAGAACATGAGGACATTGGGAATGTGCAATGACCTTCCGTTCCAATGACAAGGCCGACTTGAAAGCTCATCTTTACGTATGGTTAAAGCATTAACGTCGCAAGAATGTCAATATCCCTTCTCGTTCGTTGTTACCGCGTTTTCAAGGTTCCACTGCGGCTGCCGATGTGTTCGAGTAGTCACGCTAGGGTCCCCTTCATGAATTCCACTCCAACATTGGGCAGCCCTGAAGCTTTTAATCTCGAACAATTCCGCGCTTCTGCCGGGACAATGGTGGATTGATCCTTCGTCTGTACGAGCAGCAAGACTAGGAACAATGAAATCTCAGACGACTTTTACCCCGTGTATATGGCGAGCTGCTTGTATCGAGATGACAAAGATTTCTACGAATTACTGCTTCCTCATCGCTCGAACCAGATCTCCAAATCTGCTTTCCACTGCCTCAGCTAATTCAATAGGATTGCCTGTCTCCACAATCTCGCCCGTATCCATGACGAGTACCCTATCGAAATCCATAACCATGTCAAGCCGATGACTCACGGCTACCACAGTATAGTTCTCGAACTCCTTCTTGATGATCTCTTGCATGCGACGTTCCGTCTGAACATCTACACTCGAGCTCACTTCGTCGAGCAATAAAATCCCGCCTCGTATCGACTGTCGCGCTCGTACACGCTGTCGAAGCAATGCGCGACCGACAGAATAAAGCTGCCGCTGCCCAGCGCTCAAGGTTCCTGATGACATGCCTGCTTCTAGGCCGCCGTGCTCCGCTACAAACTCCCACAAGCCGACGGCTCCTAGAACGTCTCTGCATTCTTCAGCTGTTGAGGCGTTGTTTGGGTCTAGATTTGCTTGAAATGTGGACCCATCCGGCAAAAACACAGACTCTTGTGGAACAGCAATGATACGCTGACGTAGGGCCATTCGATCGAGTTTCCGAAGTGAGATTCCGTCCATGATCGTATTGTCCGCTGTCTCAGCAACAGGGTCTAAGAGTTTGAGGAGGAGAGCGATCATGCTGGACTTGCCGCTACCGGTACGTCCGCAGATTGCTACCTTTTCACCAGGGTTAATGGTCACACGGATATCGCGAAGAGCAAGCCTTGGCATGCACTCGCCTTCACATGGCTTGCTGTACGTTGCGGAGACACCATTGATAGCGACAGTACCATGTTCTGGCCACTCTTGGGGAGGAATGATAGTCTCCTCGTCCGTGTCTTCAGGTGTGACCGCTTCCCCAAAAGCCTTCAATCGAGCGATTGCGCCTAGTGAGGTCTCTAGCTTCGTCCAGGACAGCACGATACCTGCTAAGCTTTCTCCAAGACCCAGTAGACTGTAGAGAGAAGCGCCGGCGAATCCGGATTTTGAGTGGAGCTGAACTGCGAGCGTAGTCAATATTACTGCCATCACCATGACTACAACATTGAGTACGCAGCTTAACCACTCCTGGACCATGAGCAATAGATACGAGGGCCTCTGGTTTGATTTTGTCAATCGAGCGTTCTTTCTAATGTCTTCGGATGTGAAGCCAAACGAACGCAAAGTCGTGATGCCCCTGACTGTGTCCAGGAAGTGTGTGTACAGCGGACTCTTCGACTCGAGGTCGAGCAGGCGCAATTGTCGAGAAGTACGCAGATAAAATCGCTGCACTACATACAGCAGTATAGCGAGGAACGGGTAGCTGATGGCGAGATATGCGGACGACATAAGCATCACGGCAACCTGTCCGACGGCGGTGGTGAGTGACAACAGCAGGCTGATAGTTGCGTCCGGCAGCTCGGTGTCAATCAAATTGAGGTCTTGCGAGAACAGGTTCGTGGTTACACCTGTATCGGTGTTTGTGAAGAAAGCAAGCGGTGCTTGCACCAGAGTCTGCAAGGCACTGCCATGCATGTTCGCACCGACCTTCTTGATCGAGCTGATGAGGATGGTAATACCGAGAAGCAGCAGGGAGGCCGTCGCACAAGCTTGGAGTGAGCCATATATCGCCACGTAGTAGGCGTTTGAATGAGTAGGGTTTACTGACTTCATATCCTCGGTCCAAAAGGTGAGCCAAACAGTGGGAAAACTGATGAAGAAACCCCAGAGTGCTGCGAAGATACCGATACTAGATGCCAGAGGTATGCCCATGTTCTTGATCCAGTGTTTGTATACTGAACGATCTCCAATTTGGCGCGCCGCATCGATCTTCGGCGCCAGAGCCTCGCTCTTCGTCGTCGGCGACACAGAGACTTGAACTTGTGGAATTTGCGGCGACTCGAAGGATGATTTCGAGCCTATATGTGCCAAGTTCTTAGATGGATTGTAGTGGCTCAATGCTTTACTGGTCATCATTTGCTCGAAAGTACCTTGTACTTCGATAATACCGTTGCCAATAGCAATGATGTGATCAGCAGCAGGCAAGTGCTGCAAGCTATTCGTGCACAGCACCACTGTAGCCCCACGCCTTCGTAGTAACCCCCGTGGTCCAAACACGCTGTTAAAAACATGTTCCTCAGTTTCGGCATCTAAGCCGCTGAAAATGTCGTCCAGCACGAGCAAATCCGTATGTAAATACAGGGCCCGTGCGAGCGAGACACGTTGTCTCTGACCACCGGATAGTGTGACCCCATTAGATCCGACGTTGGTCTCGTCTCGCTGAGGAAACCTAGCTATGTCGTATTCCAGGCCAGTTGAAAGAATGACATCCGTGTACCTGGTTGGATTAAAGACCGAAAAGCCTACTATGTTGTCCTTTATAGATCCGTTGAACAGGTAGGCCGTCTGATCGCAGTAGCCTACATGGCTGGACCGGACTCCAAGCTTTATGTCACCTTCGCTGACCGGCAATTCTCCCAGTAGAGCTTTGCAGATGGTTGACTTCCCCGAAGCTACGGGTCCTATGACCATGTTGAGCGAGCCTCTAGCCAGAGAGAGATTTACATCGCGCAGCACGACTTTGTCTGGTTCCCAGCCATAATTGCCGTTCTTCACAACCACTGCTAGATGAGACGAATCTGTCCTCTCCATAAGGACCTGGCGAACATCCTTACGAGTTTCGCATTCCATAAAAGTCTGGATTCGGGCGAGACAGGCGAACGCAGATACAATTTCTGGAACAGACTGGAAGACGAGCGCCAGCGGAGCTGTCATCAGCCCAAGAAAGGAGAGACTAGTGAACACTCGCGAAGTGTCCAGCGATCCCTGCGCAAATGCGAAGGTGAGTGCTGGTCCTATCAGAAGGGGAAGATAGCCCAGGATTGCGGAGGCAATGTATATGCGACGATATCGGGATCCCGCAGCCAGCTCTTCGACTCGCAACTTCTGCACGTATTCGCGTACGGCGCCAGATAGTCCGGATATCTTTATGCTCTTCATACCACCGATAACAGAAGCAGTCAGGCCGACGCGTAGTTGTACGCGCGACATCCATGCCTTCTGTGAGTCCCCTGTGAAGTTGACAAGAACAGCTAGACAGATAAAGCACACTACAACTAGGCCAATAGCCGCAACGAAGGCAATTCCCAAGCGCCTATAAAGCATCCAAGCGGCTAGTGCGACCTGTATCATCGATGCCCATATCTCATGCACATGTCTGAATCCCATACGGATGCGTTCTATGTCGGTGCCCATCAGTGTCAATGCAGCATTATGGTCCGTGGCTCCAACACGCGCTGTTGTAGCTTTGATGAATATTTCCAGGACCAGTATTGATTGGACCATGATGCGGAAGCGGTGGTGAAAATACCAAGAAAGTGCTGCTGAAACCGCGATGCCGGAGAAGATCAAGAAACTCGCGCCAATCAGCCCATATCCCACATTGGGGTCGAGATCAGGTTGCGCTAGATAGTCCAGCAACGTTTCGATGAAGAAGGGTTGCGAGAAGGTAAAGCCGAGGAGTGCCAAACGAGGGACGATGGGAAGTAGTAGAGGTACTTTGAGGGTGCGTATCAAGACCTTTGCAAGTCCGAACAAGTCACCCTGAAGCTTTTCGTAGAGAAGGTACCGTGAGAACTCGGCGTGGAGGGTCTCCGGGTCGAATGAATTGTCAAGTGGTAAGATGGTGTCCATGGTGAGTATAGTTCGATAGCCTGCCAGGAACATCTTGTTTAACCAGAAGAAGACGCCGAGCGATAGTATGCTACTCGTCTCCTCTGGGCTGTGCTTTTCATCGTTTGGCCAATGAACCCAACTGGTCTTCTGTCGGCACTCCAACATAAGAATGGCTGCTTTAAGAGCCACAGCCCCGCAAAAAGTGCTACTGTAGACATGCTCTGCATGACTGCTCGACGATCGAAATAGAGTTCTTGCCTGTGACACGTCCAGGATGAGACTCAGGCATAAGAATGCAGCTAGTAGGGTTGAAGGTCTTGGGTTTCTGCTGTGCTCGAGTGCACTGAGCGGTACAGTAAGGATTGCAACCGCAAGCCTGAGGACGGCAGCCGCCATTAGCATGCTGGAGATGTGCACATGACTGATTCCCGTGAGTACTACGAGTACCAGAGCAAGACAGCCGTAAGCAGTTAACACACCCTATCTAGCTTATAAGCATACACAAAACCGAACGAGAATCATACTTACGCATTTGATGTACTGAAGCGTCGCCACATGTACTATCTTGCGTCTGTGGATCAAAAAGCCCATGCGTAAACAAGATGCAACAATGAACAACGACGATGGCACGATAGTGAAGAACAATTGCTCGAAGCGGAGGTTGAAATCGAATCCTCTAGTGTCTTGCTGCAACAGTGCGCCATATTCGGTGTCAAAAACCATGACGAATAAGTTTGTGGCATGTATCGCAGACAAGTTCAATGGTTGCTAATAGTGCTGGACATTATGTTTCTTTATCAGTGACTGCAGCCTGATTTCCAATCTGACGTGCATCCTTCAGCTGCCATCTAACCTTTTTCAGTTAGGCCACAACTAGAGCCTCAGTCGAGCCACAACAAATGCAGCCATCAGGTATATGCACTAAATCGTTATCAGCTGCGATCAATTACGCCTGCACTGGAACATACTGCAGAAATGAAATAGGGCAATCCCAAGCCAACACCACCAAGCTTGATAGCATGGACCCACAGCACAGTCATGAGCGGAGCGCCAACTAGCGAGCCCAAGGTCTTCGTTAACATGACTATACTGAAGTCTTGTATGTCGGAGTTTGCAAGCGCTATAAGTGGCGATTTCACGAGCGACATAGTGAACACTGGCAGTGCCGATCCGAGCGCGTATATCATTAGAGCTGGCATGATCAGCATCTCTCAGCCTATCCAACGTCATTTCGGACTCACCAGCTAGCAGCATCCAAAACTTGAGTGCTAGTGCAACACACAGCACACCTAACACAGACACCAAAATGCTAATTTCCGCACCGAGGTAGTTCAAGCGGACTTCAGAGCCGTGGACCGCTTTCGTGGACATGGATGACTTGATAATGCGCGGAACAACGATGGCTAGTAATGTGAAGTTGACGATGGCTTTAGCTGATAGCATGTAGCCTGCTTGCGCAAATGTCCATTCGTAGCGCTTTGAGATGTATTGGACAAGTAGTTTTGTGTCGGAGCTTGCGAGAGCTGTGAGAAAGAATGATACTAGAAGGACTTGGAAGTTTCGCCGACCAGTCAACAGCGCCCGAATCTTTTGTAGTGCATGAAGAATGCTTTGGAAGAGGCCCAGGTGTGTTTCGAAAGCATTGGAGAAGCGACTGGGACTACCACCTTGCTCGTCAAGCAATGGACCGACTCCTGCTGATATGTCTGTAGACTCAATTGATGCTAGAGTTCTGACTTTTGAGTCTGCCGGCTCGGGTAGCATACTGATGACAGGAAAGGCACATGCCAACAGTGCGATGTTAATCCAGAATGGAAGCCATAAGGTCTTGCTCATCGTGAAGGAAGCGATAGTAGGTCCCAAGAAAGATACCACATAAGAAGTTGAGCTGATGTAGGAGAAGTATGACGCTCTTAGTATAATCAGTATCTAGTGTCAGTGTGTTTCATATGGAAAGGTCGAACATACCTCTCGACATATTCTTGCGCCAGCGCCGAAGTCAAGGTGAAAACTGTAGATTGGAACACACATTCGCCGCCCAAGACCGCAAGGAAGGGCCCGAGAATGATAGCTTTTGTCGGGAGAAGGAATTCAAGATGACCTAAGATTATATCAGTCTGTATGCTCGAGAGATAATAATTTATGCAAATTAAGAAATCATTCGTACCAACAACAATTGCCCAGATGCTTAGCCCAATTCTAGGAATCATGTTGCACCAAAGAACCACCTTAAATCCATACTTCTCAGCAACGAAGCTAAACGGGATTGTGATCATGAAATCTGCGTAACATATCAACCAGTGCACCCCATCGTGGCGGTTCAAAAACACTCATACCGCAAACAATTAGTGTCGTTTCCATGATACCCTGTAGCCAAGCAAGCTGTCTTTGAACCTCATTGATCTTGCATAGCTTCTCTGGGATCGAGCCATCGGGAGGAATAGACGCTGGCTCATGGAGCTTGTAATGCTCAAGACATAGACGAGATTCGATGACACGATTTAGAGGCAGAGTGTAGAGAACCGTAGAGAGGTGCACTAGAATTAGAAGACCTATTAATGGCCATATGCGATGTCTTTTGAAATGGAAAGAGGGCATGGGTGATGGTAATGGAGACGGTGGCTCGCCATCAGCGGCAACGATGGCAGGTGCGAGCAGCGGCTTCGTGCTATCATCATCTGACATTGCTCATGCAAATAGTCTCAGCAATGATAAACCAGCATCAAACAGTCGCGAGCCTCATCCAAAATGGCGTATGTCGTTCAATGGCGATGACCGTCCACCTCAGCTAGCGCCAGTGAAGATAAGACGCACGTGACCCAGATAAGACACCTTCCAGAACGCACATTCCCCATCCCTTACATCACGGTCACCAGATTCCCGAATCTCCGTCACCGACAAGACCAGCCTCGCGAAAGTCATAGGTCTCAGACACTGACTCGCAAGTAATCCCACGAGTTGAATGTTCCAAGCATTCTCAGCTTTAAACGCGAAACCCCAACCTCACATCTCCGGTCACGATCGGGATCCGGGGCATCCTGGCCGGGAAGACGCCAGCGCATCGACCGACACCATCGAACCATAACTATAGCGAGCGATTTATGCCCTCGCCCCTTACGAAGATGCCGCGTTCATCCTGTCGGCCCTAGCCTAGCGGACAACGAAACCGGTAATATCTTTCGTTCGCGGAGCTGAGCGGGCACTGAAATGCCGAGCACGCCACAGATTGCTTTGCTGGCACGCCTCATCTTTCGTTCGCAGCTGAAATTGTAGCTCTAGATGAGCGCAGATCAGGGCTTGCTTTTCCCGTGTTTGACTGCTCGGTGCCAAACGTAGCCACCAACAGCACAACCCGTCAAAAGCAACGTGAGCACCCATACTAGGGCCGTGATTTGGGCTTTGCGTGTTCGCCAGCGTCTGGATAGGCTGGCGCCATTGCTGTCGAGGGATATGTAGCTCCGGCGCCAAGGGATGCTGTCCAAGATATCGAATGATTCTATCGAGGCTGGGGATGGGGGTGCAGACGTGGGGTCGTTCTCAGCATACCGAGGACAGAGCAGAGTATCGTCGTCGGTGTAGGGTGCGAGAGGCTGGTAGCGTACGTTGTCTAGTTGCGACATGTAGAGTGTCTGGAGTGGTCAGTCTGAGCTTGCTATGATAGGTCGTCGCAAGCGCCTGTACACTTACAGGAGGCATAGGCGCCGTCCTTTGCTGTTAGATTGCGGGTTTGTGTAAGAAGAGGGAAGAGCGTCCATTTTATTGATGTTGGTGTTGCATTGACGACTGTGAAACATGCGTCGGATGGGCTTCCTTGCAGTTAGGATGCATGATGTTGTGCTTTTACTCGCCCAAAAGCCTCTCATGCCCTTAGGGCGACTGCGACGTGAAACACGCACGAGTGGAAAGGGAACTTGATCAGAAGCGAGAATTGTACAACACCAATGATTTGTTTATTTTTGGCTTTTGGCGACCCTTTTCTATAAGTGATGCTCGTCATAGTCTTTTCCAGCCCGCTGCTAAGTACAATTTGATGAGCCTGCTATCTGCGCTCCACGCCCTTGGCGTACTGTGTATTTTTCACCGTGACTCCTCCACACATGCTGTAAAAAGAGATGCAGAATCCGAACTGAATGTGTGGATTCTAATAAAAGTTTGGAAACGAAAAGAAGGGTATATCTGCTAACGCAAAGCAAACAACACTGGCGAGTGAGCATGCTTTTACGTTCCTGCTACTCGCGTCGCAGGGAGGCAGCAGTCCCGGGATCAATTTCAGCCTGTAGTTGCTTCTCCTCCTTTCCTTGCCCACGGCCCAGACTAGGCCTCGTATTAGATGGACATAATATCCAGGAAGTTGATCTGTCTGGGACCGAACGCTAGCAAGGGTATTGAGCCCAGCGGCGGGGTGACCTTGATTGTTTTGAGGTCGGATGTAACATAGGAAAACTCGAAATGAAAAGAGGAACTTCTTGATATCGCAGAATCTGGAAATACACGCTTGCAAATGCTAGAAGGGATGACGCTCATACACAAATTGTTTTGGTACATTGGGAATACCAGATACTGTTTGTACAGTCGGCAGTGGAGAGGTTTCGACTATCGAAAGCAACAGCCGCAACTCAGAGGGACGACGTTTTACATGTGCTGAGGGTGAAGGTAGGAGTTATGGTAGTACTGGGCCTGTTGTTGCATGTTTGCCGGATGGTCTGGTGTTGGTGTTGTTGGGTATGCTGGCATGGGCTGTGACTTGACAACATAGCCCTGTCCGAAATGGTCGCCTTCGGGAGTAATGGGAGGAGTCATGCATCCATGCTGGACCATTGCAGCACCGTAAGGGTTCTTCTGAGGTGTCTGGGGTCCATACGCATCTGACGCAGGCTTGGCCTCATCAACAGTGACAGTCGGCGGTGGTGTTGGCGGTGCCGCAGCCCGGCGAGCCATTTGAGCTTGTCGTGCAAGGAACTCATCGACAGTGCCAGAAACGTTGGAGAGATGCATGGAAGCATACTTGCGGGAGAGTACGAGGGAAGGCTGGTAGAGGTGGTTCGACAGACCAATGACTGTTTGCGCATCGTAAGCTCCAGCCCAGTCAGTAGTCCTAGCTTGAGGGCGCGAAAGCACACATCGAGCAAGGGCAAGAGCGGACCGAGCCAATACAGATGGTCGGGTAGATACGAACTCCTTATGGAAAAGAGCAATCTCGGCGATGTACAAGGTCATGTGCTCAACTTCGGCATCGTAAGGCGCCTCAGAGAGAGCGATCTGGAGGAAAGCGTCGACAGTGGTATGTCCAATGACCCAGTTGAGGGTTTGCAGAACGTGCCACTCCATCTGAGTGAACATCTCGTCATCGTAAAGGGAGCAGCACATAGACTTCAGTTCTCGTACAGTTGGCACTCTGTCCTTCTTGTCGCCATACTTCGCGGCGATGAGCAGAGCAGCACAGCCAACGAGTTGGTAATGGCGTTTGTAGACGACACGGCGGGAGCAGTAACGGTCAAGGAGGTTGACAGCGAGGAAAAGAGTCTCGGGTAGTAGCTGGAAAGCGGCGTGTGCTTCTACCAAGAAGTCGAGCAGGTAGGGCCTCATGAACCATTGGATCTCTGTCTGAATATCAATTGAGTTGACATCAGGTATGGTTTGTGACTTTTGAGAGTTAGCAAGTTCGTTTCGGAAATGGATGAGGAAGACGCACCTCCATGTGGATCATGTGTTGCATGATGTCCTCTTGGTACTCATCAGCGGTGAGTCTTGACAGTTCCTCAGCAAGTGCTCGCTGTTGCATCCTTGCGATTGCTCTCTGGCGCTCGCGAGCTTCTGCTCGCATAGCGTAGACACCATCATCATGCGATTCGACCCAGTATGAGTCGCAGTGTCCGTATCGGGGTTGGGGTTGTTGATGGTAGGCCATGTTGAGCGAAGTGTCCGGGAGAGTCAAAAAAGTTGGTGGGTTTGGGATCGTGGTGTCGAACGATGATGGGGTCGATGTAGTGAGTGGATGGCTCGGTAGTGAGCTGTATTAGAGAGTGGAAGCCTGGAAGGCAAACGAGTGTAAAGACAGTAGGTAGTTGAGCAAGTAAAGGAAGGTCTCTGGTCGGTGATCCCGTGTAGCTTGAATGGCGGGAAGATGTTATAACAGAGCCTGGACGCGTTCAGTTAGTTCACGTGTAAAGAAAATTGCACCCTAAGCAAGGTGGCAGGGGAGTCGTCATACCTTTCACGAATTAAGATATTAGTTTAAAGAGTGAAATAGTGTACAGTGACACAATATGAAGCAGGACAGGTCGAGGAAATTGGATCCCTTGTCGTTTGCATCCAGAAGATCAGTGGAATTGGGCGGGATTTCTTATCGTGCGATGGGTACCGCAGTGAAAAGGGAGGGTCCTAGGGCAGAGAACGAGCTAACGACTCCGCAGGGGTGAATCGCCAAGAACTGGAATGCAAAGGATCCCAGGGCTGGCAATTGCGAGCTGGAAAAAGTGTCAGAAGTGGAACAAAACGTGATGGTGGTGCGAGCTTGCTTACTATGAGTATCCTCGGGATGGCTGGAGGAGCAGTGAAGACAGTCGATGAGAACTAGGTAAAGAAGTCAGTGTCTGCTCAGCAATCTACGCCGGTAGGCGATGAGAATTCCAACGTGGTGCGCACAACAATCGAATTGAAAAATGGTACGGCGGTTGCCTCTTCGAGACGGGCAATGGATGAAGGAGCGTTGTCCGTTTGAGGTGGAGGAATCGAAAAGTCCAAGGTTGTGCCGTTCGTTTTACTGGGGTCATTTTAATGGTGAATGTCGATACCAGACGGTAAGATAGACTCGTAGGCGCAGACCTTCATCGCGTGACAACGGGACCGAACCCACCAGAGCCGTTGTGTCATCAGTTTAACAGTGATCTCCGCTGAGGCCAAGTGAAGGTGGGTGCGAGAGCACCGGTGGTTTTGGGCATTGGTAGCGACGTGTAGGCGGCATGCAATTTTGACGAACGTCTGGCTTGAGGATCGTGGAAGGTCCTGGTTGGCGAGACACGGTTCGAGGCGATGTGCAATCCGATTGTGTGGCATGCACCGCCCTTGGATCGAATTTTCATTCCGGGAACGTCTTCCGGCGACATGTATTCGCTGCAGACCCCAAGTCTCAACCATCTCGTACTTTTGACGTATGCCACCGCGCTCGGCCACTTTGTCCACCAGTCCCATGTTGTGCTGCCATGTCGATAATTTGCGCTGGTCCACGGGGGAGGCTGTCCTAATTGGGCGGTGAGGGCAGTAGCGATGCGTCCAGGCAACTCCAAACCCACGACGCCACCAAAATCCCGTGACCCGGTAGAAATCCTCCATGACTGCAACACCAACTAAAAAAGAGACATTGACCTACCTGACACGATCCACAAATGGCACAATGTGCACAGGGTAACACGAGGCTGGGCGGACAGGAGTCGGGATTGACGACTGCGGTTGGAGCGACAGGCGGAGGTAGAGCGAGTGTCTCTGCGATCTCGAGTCCCAGCGAGAAGGTGTTGAGAGGCGGCCGAGAGGGGTGAGAGGTGAAGGTACTGAGACAGCTCTAGTACACTCCTGGTCCTAGTTGAGATGGTCCGTTGAGCGAGGAGATGGGGGGAGATTTATGGAAGATGTAGTCGAAACGAGACTCATCGACCAAGCTCCTTGCTACAAACGGGTTGGGGGGGGGGAGGATATGTAGAGAGAGGTGAAGGAGGTGAGGAGAAGAGAGAATCGAAACGGCCTACGAGCTGAAGGTTTGGCACGGATTGGCTAGGACGCCTAGGAACCGAAGGTGGATGGCCACTATACCGCATCGATACCCCGGCAAGCTCACAGCAAGGAACACCAGCGCGCCATTCTGATCCACGGCGCCGTGCGCAACACGACTCGGTTGGGCTGGGCGTCGCTTTGCGTGTTCCATCAGGCAGCGCGCAGGGCCGGGAAACACGCTCCATTGCACGCGTCTGTTGGCCCCGTAAAGTCGGCCAGCATCATTGATCCAGCGTCCATGGGTAGTCCCATACTGTATTCCACACCTCCCGCCTCGGTGCACGCACACCGCACAGTGACATCCACTGGGTGTGCGCCTTGGGGGGTGGGACAGTATCGCCATGGACCTCGCACAAAGAGGCCGTCACGGTTGCGCTGCTGAGCTGCACTCTGCA